AAAAGATGTCAAGGGAGGTCATCTCTGGCCGGAACTTCCCAATGGGGCTCATAAGACGAAAAGAATGGGGGTAAGAGGGCGCGGAAATTCACATCTTGAATGACATTAGAACAAGAGCAACGCCCATCTCCTCTGGCAGTAGAAAAAATAATAAACAGCAAATTATTGTTAGGTGTTAGCAGTTGGTGTAACTAACCCATAAAATCATCAAATACCAACTCAAGTCCCCACGTCCACCAACTGAAAGTTGTTTTACTGCAATAGTTTCCCTGCGTCGTTTTAAAATGGAATAGATAGAGGGGAGTTCTTTTATCATAACTGAAGAACGGAAAGTCGGTTTTGATTGAGGTTGCATTACAAGTACCTGAGTTAATGCTTTTAAGAAAGAGAATACGCGGAGAGTTTTTGGGTTTTTCTAACCTTCATAGTCATTATCATTTTCGTGTTTTCCGCACATGGCAATGAAGAGGGAAAGGGAGGAGTTTGAAAAGTGAGAGGATGATGCCGGCACGACCGGATAAGGACTGGCGGCAGAAGTTTACCACGCTCAGAAACAGCTGCAGGTGGCGCTTGGAGAAAGGGGATGGGAAATCTCGGAAAAGAAGCGTACAAGTGCTTTGGAGGACCTAGAACGCATTTAAGAGGATGTAAGATAATGTCCGACTGCCGGAAACGACTGGGTGGGTTAGTGAGGTCCCGGTGATGCTCCTAAGCGTCTCGTCTGTCGAGGAAAGCGCGCCCAGTCTACGTCACAGCCAATGAAACGTTGGCAGGTTTGTAAGACAGTGTGGAGACGAAAGAACCTCCGACAAGACTAGAATAAACCCAGGGAGTTCTGACAGCGGCATTTGGCACATCCTCAGGAACGATTGAAATTCAGTTATGAGCCCGGACCAAGTCAGTTTACAGAAGACTGTCTTACCCGGGAAGACTCAGTTAAATTTTTAAAGAAAAGAAACTGGGCGCTGGGTGGCCGCACTTTCCAAGTTTTCCTAATAGGCATAAGGATGTCAAGAATCTGTCCGATGCTGGCCATTAATTTTCAATTGCAACAAGTGATAAGATTCAGCCTTACCTGTGGTAAGACGAACAAGAGAAGAACAGTGAATGCGAGAGACGGCACAAGGGCCAGAACATGGGACAATAAGCGGAGAAAAGAGGCTGGGAATTTCTGGAATGAACGGTCGTGATTGTGATTCGGGATAGAGTGATGGTTGGAAGGCGCTGAGGAGTGAAAACATTTAAGGAACATGAAGTAATGGCGGACTGGCTTACAGTCAACCAGAAGGCCAAAAACTGCAGGATAATCAGCACCGAAAATAGCGGAGGAGACATCAGCCCCCAAGAATATTCAGGGATGAGCATAAGTGAGGCCAAGCTTCAAAGAAGGAGAATGCGAGGTGGCTATTTGTTAGGAGTTTCTTTTGCTTGCATGAGCAATTCAGAGTTGAAGCAAAGTCGATAAGCTGAAACAGGAGAAACGATGCCGCATTTTGGTAATTGTATCAACCAGAAAACGTTTGCCGATCTAGGTGTCGCAGAAGTAAAGTTTGCGGTCGGTGGGTTTGCCCTAGACGTCTGTCACACTTTCTTCTTCGCCACAGTGAAAAGTATGTGCATGATTGTGCTTCGTCAGGCTGTGACCAATCGATGAAGGGGACGCATAAGACAAATAAAATCCGAAAACTCCTGATTCCCCAAAACCTCTCCCTTCACGAGGAAGTGGTGATGTGGACGACTCGAAATTAAAATGAGGCGCAAGAAGCTTCGGAGTTGATAAAGAGCGGTTGTTCAACGAGCTTAAAAGACTTGGTAGCCTCCTAATTAATCTTAGTAAAATGAAATAAATGTTACAGAGGGGAAGAATAAAGTCGCTAGGCATGACGCTAACGGAAAATGAGAGAAAATTCTGTTAGGGAGAATAGAAGGGGGGAGATTAAAACGCCGAAGACGGGGGAGAAGATGAAGGTCAGGCGCTTGAAAATCACACTGCCGTAGCAATGACCTCCCAAGACCCGGCTAACGGCCTGTCCGTATACCGATTTAGACGGTTATGTAAGGCCGTCATCCTGGCGCTCCGCACTCAGGCCATGAACATGCTGACGTCACACCTGCTCTCAACAAGACTGGGATTTCACCCAACCGGTCAGATGAGCCAGAAGTCCAGCCGACTTACTAGCCGCTCAAGGACGCCCTGTAATCGATTGCGGTTTTGACAAATTTGATCCATTTGGGAAAAACTTGACGGCCTCGTTGGGTCAGAGGAATTAATTAAATCGACCAAGACACCAAGTAATTATTTGAACATCGTAGTCATTATGGTGGATTTTAGATTAATTGCTTTGGCAATCTTAATATGACAGTCAGCTTACTGTATCAGATTTAGTGGATTGCATATGTTGAAATAGGTTGGGCGAGTAACTTGACCCAGATGTGATTAAACTGTAGCGGCTAAGCGGTGATGGTGTACGCTCAGTACGCCACAACTTCAGGCCATATCCCAAGTTGTTAGAAGCAGGACGCCATTTGGTTAGGACACTTTATTCTGTACAGAACAGTGAAGGGAAAAGTTGGCAACCGGACGAGGATGCGTCCGGCGCCGCGGAGGCGGCGTCCGCGAGAGCGACGAGCCCTGTGTCGCCGAAGGTTGCCGCTGCAAAAGTGTCGCTGCAGATTGTTTACTCTATTGTTCTGGACTGTTCCCACCTGTCTTACCAATCAGCGATAGAAGTTGCGTTGATTGGCTCCGAGCCCACGCGAAGGTAGTGGCAAGCCTCGCGTGGTGCAGGCAGACAATCGACCGAATGCATGGTGCAGACAGTGAATTGCAACGAGGCAAATCGAAGCCGGGCAGACGTGCGTGCCATAGCAGGCTGTCGCTAGGACGTAGGCGCAGGCGCTAGCGAGAGGCGCGACATAGCCATTATGGCTGTCCATTACAAAACTCACGACCCACGGTGGGGCTTCGTAGCCTAGGCGCTTATAGCGTTGGCTGTATTCAAGTGCTATCGTTGCTGCCGTGCGCTCGAATCCCACCAAGGTCATCGGGTTTTTCACAGATGAGTCAAATGAATCATCTAATTGTTCTGATTTCTCTCCGACCTTTGACTTTCCCGTACGTTCCTTTTTCGCCTTATATATCCTGTTAGAATACGTCAATATACACTCTTCTTCTGCCCTTGCTGTTGAGTTCCATTTTCGGGGATTCGATCCACGGACGATCCTGGAGGACGACCAAGTGTGAAGTGGAATAAGTTCATAAGAGATTAGACTCATCAAGAATGTAGGACATGGGCTGCGGTACGGTCGAACGGTAGGTTAAAGAATACGGCTTCTAACGAATAGCTAAAGTTCGAAAATATTTGGGACTCCTCTAGAACGGTTACAATCGCTTATTTTGAGGTCTTATTACCAAATATGCTTTAAACTATCAGCCCAAAGCACTATAGTATCATTTCACAATCATCTTACAACATTACCCTTAGAATATATTGCATACAGCTACGCGTGAACACACCTACAATTGTTACTCTTGGCAAGGTGAAAAGTAATTAAGTTACCCCTTTATTCAGGCATGCACATTTTCTTCCATACTCTCTTCAAGCCTTGCCGTTTTCTTATAAGGCAGCATTGGTACAGTCATAGGTACAGACAACAGTTAGTTTAAATTAATGCTTCAATGAAGCATCATGTTCTCTCCCAGGGGCTTTGTGTTTTGAATTTTGCGCACCGTTTGACGGCTGTCATTTGCACACAGCCCGAAATATCTAATTATATCGTGTGTTCTATGTGCCTATAAGGTTAACTTAAAAAGTTGAGAAGACTGATCTCAGTATCAACTAAAAGTGGTTAAGCAGGTACCACTGTACAAGGCCAACTCAGCCCGGATCCAGTACTTCGTTACTAAAATATAAACAGTGGACGCACATTCAGACAGTCGGTAAGTACCGGCAATCATGACTCGGAGGATGGCCATTGGGTGGGACAACGCGACCCTCCTTCAGACTGTGACTTGGACTGTGGAGACCTTTGCTGCACCTTCCACTGGTGTGATATGCGATGCCTCGTCTTCCCCTAAAGTTCGTTTCTTGTGACACACATATGGACTAACTTCAGTCTAGTCATTTGCTGGGTCCACGACCGTCCAAAGTCATCTTTAATGTGTCTGGCCATCCGAACATGGGCGGGTATGGGAGGAGGAGAAAGGAAGGCACCGCGCGAGACTGTTTGACTATAAACAAATTCACGCGCCTGGCAGAGGCGTGCTCTCTTATCATAGTGGCAGTCTCTGTCGCTTGATACAGGATGTTTGAGGACTAGGTAACAGGGGGTGGATCGTATATGACTAGCCCGTTCGTAATAGGCGCTAAGATACCACAGCTGCCAACTGACTGTCTGCGGTGCACCGTACGATGGGAATCTTCGTAAGCTCGAAGTCTTTAAATGCTACTGATGGAAGCTGCCATTCGGGTACATTTCCCCCCACACCCTATCCTGGTCTTTGCGAATCTTCTTTCATTAAATTTCCCCTTACTTGCTTTTGAGGGCAGGTGGTTCGCTTTTCACTTGGCGTGCGGATAATGTCCCGTTTGACGTCACCGGGAGACCCTATCTTCATCTAAGCAATCGAGAAGATCGTAGTGGAATGCGTCCCTCCGAATGCACGTCATATTAGAGAATTTATGGAGAAATAATCGAAAGGGTTTAACTGATGAAGGTTAGCTCTGACCACTTCAAATTTGGCGCCATGGTTATGTCAAAAGCGATGGTTCTACAATGCAAGATTACTGGACTACATTTGCCGACACTAGAGAACGTTCAAGCGGCTCAGCCGGCAGTGACAACATATCGGGTTGTTAGCTGCAGCGCGAAGTGTGTGTACGCCTGAGCTTTGCCCGGTTACGGCCAATAGATGAAGACAAAAATATCTACCGACATCACGGTGTCGGCGAGTCGAAGGCGGAGTCACACGCGGATGAGCAGCGGATGGCAGGCCTGTTATGCAGACTGAAGGGGATAGAGGTAAGTAGCCGTGCTGACGACCGAGCCTGCGAATTCTCACAGTTCGGCCATGACGTGGGAACGTCTGCTACAAAGGAGGAGAAAGACCACTGTCCACTGGAATCGGTCATGAAAAATTTTTGTTGTTGTGCCAGCCTCCAGCAAGCACCCCGGCCCCACCCATAAGTTCATGCAAAAAACATCCATATTTGGCAAATCAGCCGTGAGTTGTTTTGCGCCTGTCTCGTTTTCGTGCCCTGCGCCACCCAAATCCTCCAACCATATGACTGAGTTGTCGTCATTTCAGCATTCTATTTTGGCACCATCCGGCTGACATTTGTTTATTTCCTGCAGACCGTCAGCGGCTTCGTGACCTTCGATGGTTAACACAGGCTCAGGTTTGTGCAGATTGTTTGCTCTCGCGCCTGCATTCCCTCAAGTTCCACATGTTACAGTATGCAAATTTTAGCACATTTTCGGGCATGTTCCCACTTTGAACATATCTCCGGCCAACGGAGTTTGTTGCCGTTGATGTTTATTGAACCCAGAAGTCAGGACCGCTGTTGTGAAAGTGGCGTCGCAATGATGTCGACAGAGTGCAGTCTCGCGTACGTTTTAACTATGACGTAAATTACCCGGGACCTGAGGACTTTCGAGATTTTGTTGGTCGCTCAGAGTAATCTACAGTAGATGTAATAACTCATGAAATGTCATGAGATCCACAAGAAAACCCCTATCAAGCAAAATCCGTCCACGATGTGCCGAAACCTAGACACTTACGGGGAAGGAAAATAAGTAATCGACAGTCGTGGGTCACTTTGATCAGCCATCAGTAAAACTACCTTTTCAGGGATAGTTTTTTCTGAAAAAAATATTTAATTACTGCAATAGACCGTCATTTCCACACACGCACACACACTCAATTTGGTCATTTTCGCTGACGATGTCTGCCATGTGCTCCACAACTAGGTGAGTGCAGAGGCTGTGACTTGAGCGTGGATTTGTTCATAGTGATAGTAGTAGTAGTAGTAGTAGAAGTAGCAATATTAGTAATAGCAGTGTTGGTAATAATAATACGAGTAGTAGTAATAGTCGTGGTGGCAGCAGTAGGAGCGGTAGTAGTAGTAGTAGTAGCGGTAGTAGTAGTAGTAGTAGTAGTAGTAGTAGTAGCGGTAGTATTAGTAGTAGTAGTAGTAGTAGTAGTAGTAGTAGTAGTAGTAGTAGTAGTAGTAGTAGTAGTAGTAGTAGTAGTAGTAGTAGTAGTAGTAGTGGGGTGTAGGGGTGTCAGCGGTGGGTTCACGTAATGGTCGTGGTGGTCGCTCACTTGCCTGCAGGTGAGACTGCGCCTAGCGTCCACTTGCTGGCACTCAACTCTCACCTGTGGCTCCACGTAGCTGGGCTCTGCTCAGCGGCCACACCGCGGGCAACCGTCTCGACCGGCGGGCTAAACCAGGTGAGGGGGCCCTGTGCGCTGTGCCGTGTGCACAGGGTTTGCGGATTCCGCTGGATGGAAGGTCGGATGGAACCTTGCGTCGGCACCGCCGTGACGTGGTTCGTCTCTGCACGTCGCTTGACAGCCGGTGACGGGATGGACCTCCACATCCACATCGCCTTGACGCGCCCACCCTCGCCGACGGAGACCGCGGCTTACGGCGAATTCGAGTCGCTCTCCACTACAACCCGAAGTCGTGGTCCCATAGTGGAGTTCGGCCGTGCCACAACGGCACATGGCAGCCCTATTCAGGGATGGCACTGCCAGCCCCCACGAGGGGAAGGGCCTAGAAAAGGTGGCCTAAACATTGCTGGGTACCACGCCGTCTCCAGGCTAGCCAGGGCCGCAGACGTCTAAACATGGTCGAAACAATCAAAATCGAAACAAAAACAATACCAATAACAACAACAACAACCATACTCATTCTCCTCATCCTACCTCTTCTACCTCTACCTCCGTCTATTCTTCTGCCTATTCGTCTCCTTCGTCATCTTCTCCACCTCCTTCCCGTCGGCCCACTCGTTGTCACCAGACTGGCAGGGTGAGCCCGCTCACTCTGGCAGCCTGGAATGTTCGTTCCCTTTTAGACAATCCGAGGAGCAACCGACCGGAGCGGAGGACAGCGCTATTGGCACGAGAACTGGCGCGCTACAAGGTGGACATCGCCGCACTCAGCGAGACCCGTTTCTCCGAACAAGGCCAACTGGAGGAGGTGGGGGCTGGCTACACCTTCTTCTGGAGCGGTCGACCCAGGGCAGAGCGACGAGACGCGGGCGTCGCCTTCGCCATTCGGAATGACATCGTGGGACGACTGCCCTGTTTGCCGCAGGGCATCAGCGATCGCCTGATGAGCCTCCGCCTGCCTCTCCGGGGAGGCAAATTCGCCACCATTATCAGCGCCTACGCTCCGACGATGACCAACCCCGACGCCGTCAGAGACAAATTCTACGAGGACCTGCACGCCCTCTTGGCGACTGTGTCGAAGGCGGACAAGTTGATTGTCCTTGGCGACTTCAACGCCCGCGTCGGCACAGACCATACTGCCTGGAGAGGAGAACTGGGCCCTCACGGTCTCCACGGCTCCAACGACAACGGCCTGCTTCTCCTCCGCACCTGCGCAGAACACCGCCTCATGCTGACGAACACATTCTTCTGTCTGCCGGAGCGAGAGAAGGCCACCTGGAGGCATCCTCGGTCGCGCCAGTGGCACCTGCTGGACTATGTCCTCGTCCGGAGGCGAGATCAGCGGGACGTGCTGGTGACGAAGGCGATCGCGGGTGCTGACGGGTGGACCGACCATCGCCTCGTCATCTGGAAGATGCGTATTCGCCTACAGCCTCGCAGGAGACCACAAGGTAAGCGACCACCAGGTAAGCTGAATGTTGACTTGTTGCCTTTGACCGCTCACCAACTTCATTTCAGCAACGAGCTAGCTCAACGGCTAGACAACCTTCCTATCGCTGCCGCCGACGACGCCGCCACTGCCGAGAACGCCTCCGTGGAGAAACGCTGGTGTCAACTGCGAGACACGGTCCAGTCGACGGCGCTCGCCGTCCTCGGTCGCGCTCCCCGCCAACACCAGGACTGGTTCGACGACAACGACGCCGCCATCAGAAATCTGCTAGCTGAGAAGAACCGCCTAGACAAAGCCTACGTAAATCACCCCACTGATGCCACCAAAGATGCCTTCTACCGCAGTCACCGCCAGCTTCAGCAACGACTGCGCGAGATGCAGGACGCCTGGACTGCTCGCAAAGCTGAGGAGATCCAAGGGTACGCGGATCGCAACGAATGGAAGAACTTCTTCTCTGCGATCAAAGCTGTCTACGGTCCGCCGACGAAGGGCACTTCTCCTCCCCTCAGCGCCGACGGCAACACTCTCCTGACTGAGAAGACGCAAATCCTGCAGCGCTGGGCCGGGCATTTCCGAGGCGTCCTCAACCGCCCCTCCGTCATCTCCGACGCCGCCATCGAGCGTTTGCCGCAAGTGGAGACCAACGTATACCTCGACCTCCCGCCATCTCTCCAGGAGACCATCAGGGCCGTGCAGCAGCTCTCCAGCGGGAAAGCACCCGGATCGGTCGCAATTCCTGCTGAGGTCTACAAGCACGGAGGTCCCCAACTGATGGGTCAGTTGACTGCGCTCTTCCAAGAGATGTGGCGTCGAGGTGAAGTCCCGCAAGATTTCAAAGACGCAACCATCGTGCATCTCTACAAGCGCAAAGGGAATCGCCAAGTCTGCGACAACCACCGTGGCATCTCCCTGCTGAACATCGCCGGGAAGATCTTCGCACGAATCCTCCTCAACCGCCTCAATAATCATCTGGAACAGGGTCTTCTGCCGGAAAGCCAGTGCGGCTTCCGTTGTCATCGTGGGACCACGGATATGATCTTCGCCGCCCGTCAACTTCAGGAGAAGTGTCAGGAGATGCGGACCCACCTGTACTCTACCTTCGTGGACCTGACGAAAGCCTTCGACACGGTGAATCGTGAAGGACTGTGGAAGATCATGCAGAAATTCGGCTGTCCGGAGCGATTCACTCAGATGGTGCGTCAGCTGCACGACGGTATGATGGCGCGAGTCACGGACAACGGAGCTGTCTCAGAGGCATTCGCAGTGACCAATGGAGTGAAGCAGGGCTGCGTACTGGCGCCTACCCTCTTCAGTCTTATGTTCTCTGCCATGCTGATGGACGCCTACCGCGACGAACGCCCCGGGATCCGCATCGCCTACAGGACGGACGGTCACCTCCTGAATCAACGGCGGATGCACTTCAAATCGCGCGTATCCACAACCACCGTGCACGAACTCCTCTTCGCCGACGACTGTGCCCTGAACACCACCTCGGAAGAGGAGATGCAACGGAGCATGGACCTGTTCTCCGCCGGCTGCGAGAATTTCGGTCTGTTCATCAACACACAGAAGACGGTGGTGATGCACCAACCGTCACCCAACTCAGCCACAGCCCCCAACGCGCCGCCGCAAATCAGCGTGAACGGAACCCAACTGCAGGTGGTGGAGAACTTCCCGTACCTGGGCAGTACTCTCTCCCGCAACACCAAGATCGACGACAAGGTCGCCAACAGGATCTCGAAAGCCAGTCAAGCCTTCGGTCGCCTCCAAAGCACAGTTTGGAATCGTCATGGTCTCCAACTGAGCACGAAGCTGAAGATGTACAAGGCTGTCATCCTGCCGACGCTACTGTATGGAGCGGAGACTTGGACGGTGTACGCAAAGCAGGCACGTCGTCTGAACCACTTCCACCTCAGTTGTCTTCGTCGCATCTTGAGGCTGAAGTGGCAGGATCGAATCCCCGACACGGAATTACTGGAACGAACGGGAATCCTCAGCATCTACGCCATACTGAGGCAAATTCAGCTGCGCTGGAGCGGCCACCTGGTGCGCATGGACGACGAGCGACTACCCAAACGACCCTTCTACGGAGACGTCGCGACGGGTTCTCGCCGTCAAGGAGGCCCTATTCGTCGATACAAGGATACCCTGAAGTCCTCCCTGAAATGCCTGCAAATCAACCCCACCAACTGGGAGGAGCTCGCACTCGATCGACCGACCTGGAGGAGGACAGTGAAGACAGGCGCTGCTATCTACGAAGCCAACCGCATCGCTGCCGCCAAAGCGAAACGTGAAGCCCGCAAATCACAAATTCGCCCAGTAAGCAACGCCGCCGCACAACCGCTTCCAACGTGTCCTCGATGTCAACGAACTTTCCGGGCTCGAATCGGACTTGTTAGACATCTTCGGATTAACTGCGCCTCTCGAACGGCACCAACCATTGTCCCCCCGCCTGCTTCTTCCTCCACCTCCTCCTCCTCTCCGCCGCCAACCAACCCTGACAATTCTTCTGACCCACCACTTCCATCATCATCCTCCTCCTCCTCCTCCTCCTCGCCCACTGCTCCAACGGCGGCCGCTCAGGCGACTGTCCCGCGCACAACAACCGACGCTACCACCACCTCCCCCGACTCCAGGGATGAGGATCAGGACTGCACCTGCCCTCACTGCGATCGCACCTTCACTTCACGCATCGGCCTGGTCGGTCACTTGCGAATCCATCGCACAGAGCCTGACGAACCAGTGCGTGAAGCACCAACCTACACCCACCGCACTCGCCTCCACTGCCCACACTGCCCTCGCACCTTCAAGCATCGCATGGGCCTTTTCGGCCACATGCACATCCACGAGAGCGGCCTTGCCCGCACTCCCGACACACCCACTACATCCAACACATCCACCGTGCACACCCCCACTCTCTTTCCATCCGTCCGCGACACCACCACCACCACCGCCTCCTCTGTAGCTGACACTGACACCGCCGACTTCTCATGCCCACACTGTCCACGCACATTCACCTCACGCATCGGCCTGGTCGATCACTTGCGAATCCATCGCACAGAGACTGGCGAACCAGTGCCTGGAGCACCCACCTATACCCACCAAGCTCGTCTCAACTGCCCACACTGCCCTCGCACTTTCAGGCATCGTATGGGCCTATTCGGCCACATGCGCATCCACGACGACCTGCGGTAGACAACCGCCGGCCACACCACACATTCACTCACTCCCTACCTCCTCCACCACCACCACCACCACCATCACCCCACCATCACCCCACCAGAAATCAACACTCACACACCTCATGCATCCAACTGCCACCTCCCACGCATGTGGGAAGTCCGCATCTCGACTCGGTCCCCATGCGGCTTCGGCTGCACGGGTGACTTGAGTCCGAGACTATCCCCACACGTCAAGCGTCGTGGATAGGAAGGTTGCTGATTGACGCCCGCTCTCGGTTCACGCAGTTCGTCGCGTTGTGTTTGTGTGTTGTGTGGAGTGGCGGACTGGTGGGCTGGGAACGGGCTGAAACAGCACCTTCCACGGCACTCTCACGCAAGTGAGACACACGCCGTTCATCCCCCGTTGTGTGAAATCCTGGTGTTTGTGTGTGTATGGGGGGCCAGGTCGTGCCGTGGCGCGCGCAGTCATGGTCAGTCGACCATGACAGCCACCGCGCCCATTCCCCACTCCAGTCTGCTGACCGGCTCGGACAGCGGCTGGGGTGTGGGAGTGGGAAGTGAGGGTGAGGTCGACGACTCAGCGCACTTTCTCCTCACTATAAACAATCTGACGCGCTTGAAGTTAGCACGGTGCGCTAAAAGCCGTGGCTTCGAAGGTTGCCAACTGACGGGGTAACTTGGACCTCCTCCTTGACCGGAGGCGGTCTGAGAGTCAGGCTGCAATGGCTCCTTTTTAATGTGGCCTTTATGGCACTCCCATCACAGTGTGGGATCCGAGCCAGGCGTTGGCGGCACGCCCAGGTGCGGCTTCGGTCGTGCCAGCCTCCAAATCTCTGTTGTGTTGGTTGAAATCCTGGTTATTTGTTGTGCGGACCAGGGGGTGTGGTGGAACGCCAAGGTGAGGATCCGTCCGAGCCATCCACCTGCGGCCTCTCTCGTCTCCGGTCTTCTTGACACTGTCTTGACACCGGGCTAGGGCGAGGGAGGAGGAGAGAGTGTAGGTAGATGCTACGCAAGTCTACCGGCACTAGAAACTCCTGCGTAAGTCACCGTCCCTGCTCCCACTGCTGCTGCAACTGTGGGACACACGGTGGACATCATCGAAAACGATGGTCGAACGGTCAGTATTAGTAGTAGTGGTAGTAGTAGTAGTAGTAGTAGTAGTAGTAGCGGTAGTAGTAGTAGTAGTAGTAGTAGTAGCGGTAGTAGTAGTAGTAGTAGTAGTAGTAGTAGTAGTAGTAGTAGTAGTAGTAGTAGCGAATGTGCGGGGGCAGTGAGGGCAGTTGAGGCGGATGCGATGAGGTTAAGTTGATACTACAGGCACTAGTTTGCCAGTCTCTGTGGGATGGATTCCCATGTGACCGACTAGGCCGATGTGTAAGGTGAATGGGTCGGAAGTGTTGTAGCCGACAGACAAAGATTCCCAAATTAGAAGTCACGAATGACGGATTGGGTTGGACAACCTTTACTGCTGAGGAAGTGGGTGCGTAAAGGCTCTGAAAGCAGTCGCCGCGAGCGCTCTCTCCAGACAAGCTGTGTTGTCCGTGTCCGCCATTGAGGTGCATAGACCCCAGCGCGTACGCACCTTTCGCCCTGCCCCAGTGTTACCAGCACTGATTGGCCTCGAGCGCTCGCGAGGCTAGCAACAAGCCTCGCGCGTCCCAGCAGGGCGTACGAGGCGGACAGGAGGGCAGCGTGACAAAGCGCAGAGTTGCCACAGTAGCCCCCGGCCAGACCGAAGGCGGCGTGCAGCGACGCCGAAGGAATTGTTCATGTCTAAGAAACACGAGTAACCAAACGGTCAGGAAAGTGAACATGACGTTAACTACGGGTGATATATACAGGGAGCACAAGGGGAAAGTGAGTATGGCGCGCGGTTACAGTGTTGGAGGTCGATGGGGGGGGGCTTAATTGTAGTTGAGGGCAGCGGACATGCAGGAAGAGGGAGTATACGGGATGGAGGAATAGAGGGTCGGGGAGGCGGGGCAGGGGATAGAGCACCATAGGGCTTATCCTGAGGAGTGTCCGGGACGACAGCTTTGAGGCGGCCCACTCTCACGACCTCCTTGCGAGTTCCGCGTTGAATGCGGAGGTTTTTCGTCCCACAAGAGATGACCCGGAAGGGGCCGTTGTAGGGTGGTTCCAGCAGCGACTCGGCAGGGATTGTGAGGCGGACAGGAGGGCAGCGTGAAAAAGTGCGGTGAGCAAGGAGGCACGGGCTGCCACAATTAAAGCCGGTTTCGGTGATAATGGTGGTGCTGGTTCTGTTGGTGGTGGGCCCGCCAGGCGGCGGGTCCTTTCATTGGCATCCAATCCACTTCGGTCTTTTTTGTAATCCTGGTGCATGCGTTTAAGGGGCCAGGTCGTATATGTAGCGAGCGCAGACCCCCTCTCTAGCTCTGTCAGTCCCCGCGCCCACTTCCGGCATCAGACATCTGACCGGCCTGGACAGTGGTGTCTGGGAGTAAGATGGAAGAGGGAGGTCGACAGTCTCAGTGTATATTCTTCACTGCAAGCAATCTGACGCGCTTGAAGCTATCACGGTGTGCTAAAAACTGTGGTTTCGATGGTTGACAGTTGATGGGATAACTCAGACATTGCGCTGCAATCTGTACTTGTGTGGAATGGCCGTCTGGCTAACTGAGAATCAGGCTGCAATGACTCCTTCTTAACTCGGCCTCTATGGCACGCCCACTCCGTGGGATTCGATTCGCCCCCTTTTTTTTATAGGGGTAAAATCCTGGTCAGTGTATGCTCTGGATCAAGGGATGTGGTGATATGAGTGGTTGTGGGTTTTCATCTTGCCAGTCACCTGCGTCCTCTTGCGCCTCCGGTCTTCTTTACAATTTCTTGAAACTCGACTAAGGGGGAGGGAGCAGGAGAGAGTGTAGGAGATGCTGCGCATGTCCATTACCATTTTAAACTTACTCACGCGCAAGTCACCGTTCCTGCTTTCATCTTGTTGTGGAACACACGGTGAGCATCGTTGGTCATGACGGTGGTACCGTGGCGCGCGTGTGTGTATGCGTATGTTTGAGTTTTAGTTTATGGGTAGTGCCTCTCACTCGACGACTGTTTTATTACGCAACCTTGAAGGATGACGTCTCGCGCTAAATGCAGGACCACATGTCGCCCTTTTAGGTCAAAAGATCTGTAGGCGTGTGCTACGTCAGTATCAGCCAACCACGGCCATTGCAGCCTGGTATGCGCCAGCAGTTCCCTGACACCCGGTTCCCTGCAGATATATGAGCTTGAGCTCCCGCTGGGTATACAGGTGGTGGGCGTGGTTGCCCAGTCATCCTCCTCGTCCTTCTGACCCCTGTTGGTGTGTTGTTTTTGTTGCTGCTGCCGTTGTTGGTCAAAAATCTGACCATTTGCTGTGTGGGCCAGGGGGTGTGGAGTGGAGAGCTAAGGTGCGGGCTTGACCGTGCCATCCACTTGCGCTCCCCCCTTCCGATCTTCTGGACTTTGCCTTGACGCCGGATGCCGGTGGGGAGTGAGGAGGAGAGGGTGCGCTGGATGCTGTGCAAGTCTACTATCACAATAAACTAATTCACGCGAAAGTCACCTTGCCTGCTGCAGCTTGTTTCGGAGCACACTGTGGACATCGTCGAAGTCGGCGGTCGGAATGTCGTTGTGTTTTAGTATACACCGTTGGTGTTCTTAGCCCCAAACACGTGTCTGAGCCTTTCCCATGTCTAAGCTGTGTCCGCCCGCAGTCAATCACCATAGGAGCAGCGTTGGTTGTCTTCGAACACTCGCGAGGCCAGTGTCGAGTCTCGCGCTCTTCTAGCATCGAAATGAGGGGGACGTGAGGCGTAGAGATAGACTGTATGACAAAGGGACGCGGATGACGATCACGGGAATGGGCTGCCACATGATCTCATATCGGTAAGGCACGGGAATATGGTCCCCCGTTCTACAATTCGCTTTGCTCTGAGTCCGAAAGAGAATTAGTGCTATGCATAGTGTTCGTGTTCGGTTAGTTGCGTTAGGTTTATAATTAGAAGGGTTGCATTAGCGTTGAGTGTTTTGGGTTCGGTTTAAGATAGGACATACGGGTGGATATCGCCCTGCACTTTAGTGGTAGGCCACGAATGGTACGGGTAAAAGTTCCATATTTACTCGTCCAACGTACCAACCCACCACCCCCAAAAGCGAAATCTCCCGGCAGGAAGGCATCATTGCAGTCTGACCCTCAGTTCTAGCCCTGAGGGTGTTATTCTGTCAGGTGGCAAGATTTCGGATCCGAAATTTTACGTGTCGATAGAGGTTTTTGAAGCTCCTTCCATTTATTAATAAGATATGGTGATATAGTCCCGCTTGAAGGACGCAATACTGTTGGGATTGGGATTATGGTTTGGGGTTATGGTTAGGGGTTAAAGTGAAGGGTAAGGGTTAGAGGTTAGGGGTTATGGCAACTATTCCTCAACCGCTCAATAGTTCTTTTTTGTATGCAACTACTTGACCTCGTCGCCTGTGCGTTCCCCGGCTCCACCTGTAAAAACCCTTATTACAACTGGTCAAGTATTACAGGTGGCTGGGATTTGTTTACTTTAGGTGGGACTACATAATCACCTTTGACCGATTAGTCACAATGATAAATGTGCTGGAGGACTTGGAAAACCAAGCTCTTCACCGCTGACAGCATCGATACAGTGCTTTAGTTTTGAATGCGATTGAGGGAGAAGACACGACGCCATCCTTCTCGCTTTCGTGTTTTATGGCGAAATTCTAAGTTAATTGGATGACTTGTTCGGTTTCATTTGGGTTAGCGGGTATTAGAAGGAAGGAAGTACGTATTAATTCCCGCAAGTGGTTGGCTCAAAAAGACTTCCCACGAGGACCTGTGCGTGCGAGCGCGCTGACGCTGAAAGGGGCGAGTTGAATGTCCGACGAACGGAGCGATTCAGCATCTACAGTCTACTGGAACTCTGAAGACCTAGGTACTAAGGCCTTGACGTCTATTTGACGATGGGAGGAGGGTTTAGCGGTCCAGCAACCATTGAAATTCCTTGCATCCTTTTATTCACGACAAATCCTTTTATTTCGACAAATCCTCCTACTGACTAGAAACAACTTCGTGAGCACGCTACGCAAATCTGAAGCTCACTTAGACAAAAAACCTTTGTTCGGAATGAGTTTTACATGTCCATTGTCTATTCATAAGTTTTTTTTCCCAGTAGACTAGTTAAACTGATCAACAAAATGACGCCTGCTACTGCGCTTTGTTTACCATCGCATCAAAATTTAGGTTCTCCTCGAGCGTTCTACAAAGGACTGTTGATTATCCACTTGGCCGAAAGACATGGTTCTTTTGTTCCATCAGGCAAAGCTTTCAGCGCTGATTTGAAGCTTGTACTTTCCTGTCAATTCCGAATAAGCGTTTTTTTGGACAGACATGGTTAATATTTTTAAAATCTATTGAAAAATGAGACGAAATTATAATCGCCCATAAAGTTCCCATTAGAAGATTTCTAGTAACAAACCATAGAATGAGAATGTTGCATAAATCCCCAGTTATTGACAGCAGAGTTGTAAGTTAAAAGCCCAGACACGTGTTCAGCCGATTTTCTGTTGTTAGAGGACGTAGCTGCGAGAACCTCGGATCACCGGTGGGTCCGCTGGCGTCCCCCTGCGTCTTCTGAAATATGTCCCAGTTCTCAGATTTCAGCTTCTTTATTTCCTCAGAAAGCAATGCAGTAACGTGGAGCAAATTCTTCAGGACAAACCTTCTCAGACTCTTTCCGGAAGGTGATATGAATAATTGAGCTAAGATCTGCCGGTTCCAGCGGCATATTACTCACAAACTGTATGCGGACAAACAGTAGTGCATAAATGCTGACTTATTGCCCGCACTGAAAGTATAGGTGCTAGCTGAATGCCGAGGGCCTTGCGTCAATTTTAGGTTTAGCGTTCAGTTTAGGGTTATAACTATACCTAGGATTTGGGTTTGAGATGGCAAACACGGACAACTGAAATCGTGTCTTTTCAATGTTGTTTCTCGTCATCAGATAATGCAGACTACGCCAAGCGTTCGCCATAAGGTAAAAAATTCTTAAAAACAAATTTTGGGTGAAAAGTTTGAAAACTGTTAGTCTGTTATTTAACTCTTGTTGGCTACTCTGTTCAAAGCGCCAGTTCAACAGTCAAATCCGACGGTGTATACCGTGTGTCTTACAGCATGACGTGCGCAGGGACAACGAGGTGTTAGTAGACTGACGCGGCGTCTACCGCCATCTCTCCTTCCTCACTCGCCTGGTCCGGATGTCAAGGCAGAGTCAAGAAGACCGGAGGTGAGATTAAGCGCAAACTGTTAATGTAGCGCGAAACTGCGCCTAGGTGTGCCCCAACAGTCCGTCCATGTGCGGCATTAGTTATTGGCGTACATCCCCAATAATGCCTGCCGTGCTCCGATCTGGATCCGTGTTTGCCCAACGCATGTGCCACTTGACCCAGTGGAGGGGCACTCTGACAAAAGTACACTGCTGGTTACAAAGCGTCCTCCCATCCGTTACAAGGGTGAGCACCCATGGTGTGATTGACGTTTCAGCCACCAGTTTAC